CTTGGATCTGCAGCTACGGTGTCAGCAATAGGCACAGAAGATCATTCAAGGAGTCGCATACAGGCTCCAGGTTTTGCTCTAGGTTTGGATAAACATAATGTCGCACAAGCTGCTTCACAGAGGTGAAAAGGTCTTTCAGCTCCATCAGCTCCGTCGAAGGGTAGAGTCTCATTTGGCTGATTCGTACGTCGTTGACAAATGCCTCAGGATGGCCACCTCTAGGTCGAGGAAGCTCGCCGTGAAAGTAAAAGGCGTACAGCCACCAGCGGTAGAGAGCCCTGCGGAATCTGAACTTTTCTGTATCCTTGAGTTGACGACAGTCTTCTGGGTTTGAAAACCAGTGAAGTTGAGGAAAAAGCTCTTCCCACCGTCTGACTACTAGGCAATACTTGAGCAAGGAGTCAAAATCACGGTCATTGACGGCGACTGATCGTGGGGCCGGTAGTGTAGTCGCAGACAGCGACTTGCCGTTATTGAGAATTCTGGTAAACAGAACCTGCTCGGGAGATGGCGCAGAATCCGAACGGATGCCACCCTGTGACAGAGTAACTCCTGACACGTCGCCTGGAAAGCGCCTGAACACTACTCGTCGGGGCTGGAAAGTGTCACCGTGCTGGCCTAAATCTTGATCCGATGCCGTGTAGACCTGGAGAAGCTCGTCAAATGGACTAAACTCCCGCTGTAAAACTGGTAGCAGAATGACTGCCCTGTTCTTCTTTAGCAGTCCATGGAACAGGGTGTTGACTTTTGCCAAAGAAAAGATGCTGCGAACGTCAAGTTGCTGGTAAATGTCGAAGATAATCTCAAGTGGAAGGCCCTCCAGACCCTCGAGTTTGCCGCCATCATCGGAAACCTTGCGCTCAGCATCCAACTGCAGCTGGGATGCAATAAACAGGGATGAGAACTTGGATGCCATCTCGAATACGTACCGCAGCGCGGAGTGGAGGTGATTCGTGGATTATGATGATGACGATGCTGTCTGATAGATGGCGAGGAGACGACTGAATTGTTCGGGGGCTCAACAAATCGCACAAGTCGTTCAGAATTCAGTGGCAGCATCGAAGCAGATACGACTAGACTGCTGAAACGAAGACGTTGGTGAACGGGGTTTCGCCTTAGCGTCTGGGGTGTGATTGAAGTAAGTGGTGATAAGGCGGATAACACCACAAAGATACACCGGTTGACGAAGAAAGCAATCGGATGAATTGAGGTAACAAATTGCTGTGAACTGCTGATCGAATGGGGTTGTTTCTCAAAAGTGAACTCGATGTGTCAGAGGCACAAACAGACGCCGTTGGCGGCAATGAGACGGTTGGATTCTGCTGGGACATTAGAACAAGACTACATCGTTCAGATGTGGTAGAGCTCACCGGTGATTTGCAGCATTATGCTTTGTGTGTGACCCTTTCGTTGGATCTTGGTGACCAGTATCCTGGGTCGCAATGATTGCAGACGGACGCCACAACCAGAAGGGCAGACGAGAGCTTATCGTCTCGTTGGCCGTCGTGAAAGAACCTTCTACCAGTAGACTCGAGTAAGGTCTAGCCAAGGAAATGAGATTAATAGAATAGAGGCGACGAAACCTCCGTCGAACCTCGCGGGCGAATCAATTCACCGGCGAGGTCTAAGATCGAATGGCCTATTTTCTAACCACCCCGGCGTTGGGGCTATCAAGGACGGCGAGGACGCGGACTGGCATTGTTTACCTCGATGGAGAGGCTGTCATCGATGTAGGCCAATGTGCTTCCCGATAAGCCTTGCCTAGGTAGTTAAGGGCCGCGGTGTGGGAAGATCAAGTGCGACTCGAAGATGCGAGAGCAAAGGAGTCAAAGGCAACGGACGGAGGTTGGACGCGACGGTGACGCAGAGGACATGCAGGTCGCCCCTGCCTGCTGACCTAAACGTCGGCCCGGAGTGACTCTAGAAGGCAGGTACGGTTCATAGTGGGTTCCCGCCCCTGGCTGGCGTCAGCGCCAATTGACGGGGGTGTTTTATCGCTATCAGTGCTTGTAGCTTGGGCACCTTATTATGAGACTCACCGGCCAATCACTGCAAACTTTGGACTAACACAGTCCTGAAATCATCAAGACTTCCAGTCGTTGTGACAACTAGTTTACAAAACAAACAACTTTTTTCCCATTCCGCAATCATTCCCAAGAAGAAGGTGGATATCTCATTATTAAGCGAACAAAGTCTTGGTGTCCAGCTCATCCTTGGCCGCCGGCTTGCCTCCTGTAGATCGAAGACCAAGGTCACCCTTCTTGGACATCCGCTCGACAACCTTCTCAGCCCTCGCCGTGTGACGGACCGCCTTCTTCCTTCTCATATCAGACCTGACCAGGTTGGGGCTGACATACTCCTTGTTTTCGAAGATTTTTGGCCCTCCAAAAGCCCCCTCCAACTGCGTGCGCGCAAACGATATCAGCTTTGCACTTCTCTAACTGTATTCGGGACGTTGTCAACTTACAATGACGACAGGCGTGAGGGTGAAGCGGGGGCCGATTTCTTGCAGAGAGGTGGAAATCGTCTTCCCACCCTTGGTCACAGTCTTTTCTCCATCGTCTTCCTGGCCCTCCTTCTCCTGGATCTCGTAGTTCCGGACCCAGATCTGCAATTACGTTAGTCAAGATGACGCAAGTTCTCGGCGGGCAGATCTCACCTTGCCATCCAGCACCGAGAAGCTCATTACACGATCAATGAACGGCTTGGCCTTTCTCGCCCCAGGAGGCACTCCGAAAGCAGCAATGAACATTTTCTTCATCACTTTTGCCATGTTGTCAGTCCGGAGCACCCAAAAGCAAGGAGCTAAACATACACTGCAAATGAGCATCATTCTCAAACGCTTGGTCAAAGCTAAGTACTCTGTCAGTCGTTGTGGGACGAGGAGATGGTTGCCGAGGGGAGAGGGGGGGAGAACATACGACAAAATCGGCCTTGAACCACGGAGGCAGTTTCCTTTCGACGATATTAGCATGATCCCACCTTAGTATGCTATGTAGTGATCTTCCATGCGCCTCAAATGTGGGCAGAATGGCAAGAGAACAGAGGGGCGTAGGAAAATATTCAACAGCATGAGTTCATACCTGGGAAGTTGAGTTCTTCCATCGTGTGAACTAGAAGCATGTCAGTTGCCGCCTCGGACCTGATTTAGACAGCAAACATACTGTTCTGAACATGGAACTTGATACTGCATCCGTTGCCGCTTCTTGCCATCCAGAGGTAAAGATCCTTGTGCTTTCTTGCTTCGAAGAAGACGATGTTGTTGCAGTTGTACCTAGAGAGGTATTGTCAGCGTTCGTTGCCCCGGCGCACGTTCGGAAAGCAGGTCGCATACAACTCAGCCAGCTCATTGAGTCCGTTGAGGTTTCCCTTCTTGTCATATTTCACATCTCTAGCCCAAGCTTAGCCCAAAATTCCAGTTGCATAGATGATCCGTGCCGAATTTACCTCTTTCCGTGGGGCATCAGCGTCGCCAAGTCGTTGAGCAGGTGTCGGTGTCTAGACAGTCAAGGATCAGCAAGTGCTCAGATGACATCCAGAGGGTGTAATGTATCTTTGAACTTGCCTGTACGTCACGCCTCTGCTTGAAAGCAGCAGGACACGCTGCTTGTTGACGCTCTTCACAGCTCCATCTACCGGCGCTGCCTCCTTCTGGTCGGTTCTCTTCGACAAGCTCTTGTAGACGGCCGCCATTTTGACTGCAGTTGTGTCGAAGGATCTATATTCAAGGGGTTGAGTTCGGTTCGAGGAGCTTGCTTGTTGGTGCAAAACCGTCGAGACGATCGCGATCGCAGATACGAGGAAGATCAACCGCGTCGCTGCGAGGGAGGGGCAATCGGACGATGAAAAGGGATTCCGGCTCAGAAAAATTCGGTTCTTTAGTCGCAAAGTCCTTCCAAAGCTCCCCGTAAAGTTCTGGCGGCGTGAGAGACAAATCGCGGTCGCAAAGCCTTCTGAGAGTTAGCAGGTAGGGTAGCAGAAAGCTGTATTCAACTCGTTCTTCGATCTTTGCGACCCAGACTTTTTTTTTTTTTTTTTTTGCCGGAGGCTACCTTTCTCCGACAGATAAGGCTTATCGCTGGTGGCCGAGCGGGGCGGGGGTGTACCCCCCTGCTTCACCTCGCCTCAGCAAATGCGAGGAGCGCTAGACTACCTGTGGGAAAGGGTGCGCTTCGCGCCAGGAGACCGAGCGGGCTGCACCTGGGGGGGAAGAAAGTTTGTGGATCGCAGCAGCTTGCAGCCCACTTCCGTTCATTGTGCGTGCTGTCATTGCTACCTACCTACGTACAAGATGCAATGGCAAGATTCTATTCGACTGTACGGAACCCTTGGTGTTCCTTCGCATTGTGAGTGCTCCAGTAACTGGTTCTTTACAGACCTATGGCGGCTCAGGGGGAGCATTTAGGAACTGTGAGGATCGCAATGTCAAGTCATGGCACATGCCAGTCAGTACTGTGGGTGTGGGCAGGGTACGTCAGAACAGGCTGTAGTGTACAAAATGAGTATCCATCCCCCTTCAAGCTCACGCGGCCAAAGACGCGACCCATGCGTCCCTTGCAATATCGTGAACCCAGGCTCTGCTGTTCGGTGTGCGTTCCGTTACAAGGAGGCGTAGAAGCAAGCGGTAGCGCCGTGCAACGATCGATGTCTTCGACCCCCCATCTCACATCAGGAAGCATACGGAGAGCAACCCCAAGGCATTAAGATGGATTCATTCAACTACGTAAGCATGGCAGAGCGATCGTCAGAAACGTCAAATCCCAGACAGGCCGCACTGAGCCGTATAACGGACAAAAAAGGAAAGGCCGAGACTGTACTCCGTCCCCTCGGAAATCATAAAAAGACTCGTTGGATTCCTAGTCATTCCTCGATGCAACAACCCCTCCTTGACCAAGTGACGTACAGATTCCGGGGCATATAAGAGACGCCATGATATCGACCGTAGCAGCCCTGCGAAAGGCCGTGAAGAAGGAAGTTTCCAGGGGTGGGGGGCAAGATGCCTAACAGCACTTGCCGCTCTTCTCTGCGCTGTCATCCGCGGGCTTGCTGAGTGCGATGCTGGGACCGGTTCCGATCGAGGCCTGGGCGCCGTCGCCCGAGTCGAGGGCTTTGCTCGAAACGATTCGGTAAATTTCTGTAGGAAGAAAGGAGCCATGTCAGAACGCGGGTCAATTCAGGGGGTGGGTGTTTTGTAGTTCATTTGCGTGGGTGGGGGCAAAGCAACGCACCGGTCAAGATGTTCTGGAATGCGAGCTCGACGTTGCTGGCATCGAGGGCAGACGTCTCAATGAAGGAGAGGTGGTTCTCGCCTAAGACTCATGTCAGCCAACCAGGGGTTCACGATGCGTTTCTTGGTCGTTCACGGCAACGTACTGGCAAAGGACTTAGCCTCCTCTGTGGGCACGGCTCGCAGGTGCCGCAAATCGCTCTTGTTTCCGACAAGCATAATGACGATGTTTGCGTCGGCGTGATCCCGCAGCTCCTTCAGCCATCGCGTGACGTTCTCGTATGTCTGGTGCTTGCTGATGTCGTAGACAAGGAGGGCGCCGACAGCTCCTCTGTAGTAGGCGGAGGTAATGGCGCGGTATCGCTCCTGGCCGGCGGTATCCCAAATCTGTGCCTTGATCGTCTTGGAGTCGACTTGAATGGATCTGGTAGCGAACTCGACGCCGATTGTCGACTTGGAGTCCAGGTTGAACTCATTGCGGGTGAATCGACTGAGAAGGTTGGACTTTCCGACGCCGGAGTCTCCAATCAAGACCACTAGAAGGGGTGAAATGTCAGCTTGCTACTCGGAGGCGTCGTGGCCATTTCGCGATGGGATCGGGAGGTCGTGTGGTCGTCGGCGCACCTTTGAAGAGGAACTGCGAAGGCGACAGGTTAGCGCAAGGAGGGGGAAGAGAGTTAGAGGGAGAGAGGGGTGAGTGGCAGTCCAAGGGGTCCAAGGGGACGATGGACGATTACGGATGGCAGAACTCACGTCATATTCGTCGTTGGCCATGTTGACGGTTTGGATGCGATGCGGTGGACGAGTGCTGGAGATGTAGAATAGTTGGTAATGCGAAACCAGGACTCTGCGGCTCGATGGAGGTGTGCGCGGCCTCCAGAGATAAAGCAGTTGAGTTGAGGCGAAGGCAAGGTGTACGGGCCTAGAACTGAACCAGAACAGAACACTGGAGAGTAGGTACCTAGAAAAGGTGGACTGTGCAGGTTGGTCTAGGTGCAGGTGCAGGTGCAGGTGTAGGTAGGAGCGTGGAGGTGAGGCAGCAAAGGTTGCTGGATGATGGTGTCGGCGCAGCAGCTTTGGGTCACTGGGATTGGCTGGGGCTGGGTACTGGAGGTTGTCAGCCACTAAAGGGAAAGTTGGGCAAAGGGGGAAAGGGACGGGGCAGCGCTGAAAAGGGCTGCGGTGTCCACCAAGGCATGGAGCAGACAGAACACCGGGGCGCTCGAGGAATCAGGGAGGCTGCTGTAGCACAAAAGCACCTTTGTGAGACGGAAGAAGATGTCTAAGCGAAGCAATGGGATATAATGTATCTTCAGGCTTACAAGTCCCTCAAATAGACTGACCGGGGGAGAAGAAAGACGAACAGCGGCGATGTTTACCCAGGTATTTCAAAGAGAACAAGGCATTGCAGGTGACGTTGTCAACATCATCAATGAGGAGCTCCCTGCGTACCTACCTACCTATGTAGAATCATGCCCGGGCTGTGGAGAGGGGGATTGGCCAGGAAGAAAGGTCACTCCATCTCTTTGCACGACGACGACCTTCTTAGCTACAATGCCTTCCATCCGCACGTAGGTGCCTATTCAGATTCCCTGGTTCTTTGCCTGCCTTCATCAGCGTCGAAGGGGGATCCTCCACGTTCCGGAAAGACAACCCGCTGAGCCACACCACCGCAGAACATGCACCAACCACCAGCCGTCATCTGTCTGTTTCTCCCTCTCCGTCCCGTCTGGCTGCCTAAGAACCTGTTTAAGGTATCTGAGATATGGTCAAATGCAGTGTCCATGATGGGATTCCGCCGTCGGTATCCGGAAGTGTCGCGTTTCATATCCAGGATCACGTGTGCCGAACCCGTGGCCCGATCTGAGAAACGTCTTCCCTGCCCGCACCGGAGCTTGGTGTACTTATACTTACTCCAATGCTTCGCATCACATCTCACACTCTGACGTCTTCTATGAGGTAAGACGAGAAACGTAGGCAAGGCGGCAGTGCTCTGATAGCGCCGGATGACCTTCGTAGAGCCACAAACCTGGTTGGGCGACTGAGGTGATGCTCTTCTATTCGGATGCAGAACTATCTCGCAAATAGGTCGTCTCTACCTGTAAGCTTGCTTCCCCGCATGTTCGCGAGCTGGGATAGTAACAGACTTGTTTCCGTCGACATGCCCGCAGGTGATCATCAAAAGAGCCGAGAGACTCGGATTACACAAATCATATGGGTAAGGTCCCCTGTTTTGACTGCTTTCTCATGCTCCAAAACATGCCATGATGTTTGCATGCCACTGCCTACCTATCTGTCCTTGGTAAGTAATTGCCACTTGAGACAAAAAAAAAAAAAAAAAAAAAAAAACCCACCCAGCCGGCGTTGAAAAGAACATGTCGACCAGACCAGGAACTTGGGGTTAAACAACTTTAAAGCTCTCTACGTCAATGAGGTAGCACGATCCGTCGAGCTCTTGTTCGTATAAGTACCTAGCTACCGAGTAGCATGGGGAAGATTGCGCTTTCCCGTTAAGATGGCACTTGTCAGGCCCCTCCTTCTTCCTTGGGCCCCATCAGACCCGGCGACAGAAAGCACGGGCCAAAAGCCTCTGTGCGTATCGTCCCTGCCTCATCTCAATAACCGACATCCTCACTCAGATAAGTACGGCTCAACGCGAGATACCTTGGACTTTAAGGGCTGCTCTCATCAGCACCCGTTTGTTTATTTCTCCAGACTCGCACACATATCCAACCTCACTCAAACGGTCAACCCCACGACGAACGATACTCGCCGGTAAGTGAACGATTTGTAACGGCTCATCCGGTGACATTTCCGGGGCAGTCTCATCGACGTTTCCTTTTTCCTACGCGATGAAGAGAAATCACAAAGTCTTAACACACCCCCAGGACTCCTGCTGTCAACTTTTCCATCTTTTCGCCACACTGCGTCTGGTTAGCCGTCTTTTCTCATTGGGATCTTCGATTTTCTGGCCTTTCAATCACACTCGTTGCGCTATTCTCAACAAACGAGGTCCTGCAAGTCTGTCAACTCAGCTTGCATTACGCACGTGTGCCAACGCAACCATCCACCCGACCAAAGCGCTTTTTCCGTTTCGAAGATGCGATGAATTCCGTGCCCTGAATTCGCAATGGGTACTACGGGCTTGTTTGTGAACGAGGCCTCCCCTCGACCGCAGAGCAGCCCCATCAAGCAAGACGACGAAGACGACGACGACATCTCCATCACGTCCTCATTAGAATCACAACATGATTCGGACGAGGAATGGTCGGTGGAACAGATTCTCTACCAAACGACTGAGGATGGTAAAGAATATTATTTGGTAGAATGGACAGGATATCCTCTTGAGAGAGCCACGTGGGAGCCGCCTGAAAACGCGTCAAGCATTTTGCTGGACGAGTGGAAAGCGACGCAAGAAAAGCAAAGACGTGGCGACGAGCCAGAGTTCGACATCAAGGGCTGGTACGAGCTTTGTGAGGACTTCCAGAGGAATCGTTTCGACCGGCATCAAGAACGCAATCGCCTACGCATTCGGCGCAGCCTACGGCCTACTCTATGGGAAGGGGAATCAAAAGAGGACTACTACTCCAGCGACGACGATGTCAGTCAAGACGATTTCAACGACATTCTCCCTCCTCCGAAAACATCAAAACGGCAGATCGATCAAGCTCTCCCTTCGATCGAGGACCGGCCCAAACAGTCGCTAAAGCAAGCAGCCGAGAGAAATGCATCCCTTCCTCGCAAACGGGCCTCATCAGGAGAAAAGTCAAAGTCACCGACCAAACAGAAGTCGCCCGCATTGGCGTCGCAACGTCCGCCGACAGCATCCGCTGTATCAAAACCGACTGGGTATCAAGGCACTGCAAGGAAACCCACAGTGACAAGAGTTTCCAGTACCAAGTCAACCGGAAGCCTCACAACCCTCGCTTCAAAATTCTCGAAGCCTGCCAAGACGGCCAAAAAGACTCAACCGGGCGCGAGAACAATGGTGAAGGCCGCAGGCAATATATTCACAAGCGGGAAGCCCATTCGCGTGCGATCCCGATTGAGTGACAATGCGGCCGACACGAATCAATCCCCCCGCGCCTTCACCAACCACCGTATCAGAAGGAAAGCTGAATTGCAAGGACGGGACAAGGCTGATCAAGCGCCGCCTATTATTCCGTCTACGCTATTCAGCATCAGCGGCGGTCCTCCACCTCAGTCCAACACCAGCAACGCAACCGCCAAGCCTAAATCAGTGTTGAAGCGCCCAGCTGATGACCTTGCCCCCAGGTCTGCGAGTGAGTCGAGCATCACGGCATCGGAAGCGGTTCCCTCAACTTCAGAGCAGTCGCAGCCATCGCGTCCGCCAGCGAAGAAGAGGAAATCTGTTCAGTGGGACCCTCAAATCCCTTTTACTGATGAGCCTGAGGACATGGACGTTAATAGTTCTCCAACTAGCCGACCAAAACGGCTCAAGTCTCCCCCTCAACCAACCACATCTCATCAACCCCAGCCTCTCGAGCCTCAACAAGTGCAGCCTACTCTAAAGAAGCTGTCTATCGCGGACTATCAAAACAGAGGGAAAACGTTTATGCACAGCTTGGACAAGAACATTGAGATGGGACCAAGAGGAAGCAAACAAATTCAGGTGACCTTCGATAATCTCCGCATCGGTCCTGAGAAATGGTACTCTGAAGTGGAGGCACAAGACATCCTGCAATTCTCCACCACCTTCCACGTTCGCATATTTGTTGCACAACGCCCAGTTCTCTTTGAGCGAGTTTTATCTCAGGGAGCTGTGAAGGCAATATCGTCCGAAGGGGAAGGCGCGATCAAAAGCGCTGCTGAAAAACTTAAAGTGGGATCTTTCGGGGCCGCATGCCTACATGAGGATTTTTCCATCATTGTTTATCCTGCGAGCTGTGACGAATGGAACTCTGCCATGAAAGAGGTCGATGACCTGAACTACGAATCAAGCCCGTCTGACGTCGCCCTCAGGTATCTCATATACAAACCACATCACAAACCTATCCCGGAACAGAGGCCCATTGCGTCGAGCTTGACAGACAAGCGCGCGTCAATTCTACAAACCCTGCTTGGCCTCGACTACCATCGGCTCATGCCAACTGGCTTGAAGGACGTACGCCATAACTTCTATTTGGCATTTCCCCCATCCAGAGAAGCAATGCTCGATACTGTAAGCGAGTGGCTTCATATGGAAAATCCGCACTGCCGCGTCTTTTCGTCAAAGACATCAGGCGACTGGAGAGCCTTCATAGATCCAAAGATTGCGAACCATGGCGTTGTCATATTCCACGAAACAACCGTCGACGTGATCCATCGTTATCCCAGCATTTTGAAGCTTCTCGTCAACAAAAAGCCCGCTCACACGTTCTGGTGCCTCGGCGAGTCTCTTCGACTGCGTCCAGCGTATCCGTCCATTCGTTCTGCACACGACATAACCGAGGTCGGTGCGATTGAACTAACAAGACTGTTTCCGCACGGTAGCGCGATCCTCGTCACCCCGAGCTTCCTCGTCGCTGAGCCGCAGCGTGCCTTGCAACTCTTTGACTGGTACAGGAAGACACATGCAAAGCCTAGTGCCAATACGAAGATCGTGGCAGCCGCAAGTCTATCCAAGTTTCTTCAAGGTATTGCGTTGGACAGGGCGGACCAGATGAGGAGCATGCTAGCCGGAGGCAGTACACAAGACTCCGTAGAGAAAGCAGGACTTGGCTATGATGATTGTATGGCTCGCTTTGAGACCTGGACAGCGGTCGAAAGTTTCC